TTCACACTGTTGAAAATCTCAGCTTTTTCGGTTCCCCTTGTTAATTATCTCTTCACTGACTATTCTGGCACAAACTGATTACAGCATTTATTCCACTATCCCAAACTTCTCATGTCTTCTTAAATGTTAAAAGCATAGCTGCAAAATTCCTCAGGAATACAAAAATTACAGCTATGGATTGGGTATTCTGGATGATCAAAATATACACCACCTAATACTGCCTGTACTTTCACATGTAATTAAATAAACCCAACCTTTTTCTTTTCAAACTCTTACCCACATCCCCCAGCAACCTTCCATATAAGTTGTTCTCCCTATACAAGCTTATGTGCAGAAGTGCAGCAGAGTCCACCTCTTTAATTATAGTGTCTGACAGTATCATGGCACAGATAAAGCAAAATGATTAATTAGGACCATATGGTGATTTTAAACAGTGTCTCTCTGACATAGTATGAATAATTTGGGTGCAACATTTCAAATTTTGAAGAAGCAATAACCTTCTCTTTTTGCTCAGAGATCCCTCATGATCAAAAAATTTGATTTGAAGGGTTTTGTCTCTGCTGACAGAATTGATCTTTTCTGTTGTGCTTTATATCACATCTTTAGGAAAAGAAATCCACATACCTGAAAAATGTATGGTGTTCAACACACACTTTCCATAAGCGCTTTGCAGCACGATGATTTGGCAACTTAAACCCAATAGTGCTTTCAAACTGCTCAAACTAGGTAGGAAAAAAGAATAAGTATGTTTTTGATGCTGTGCATCTATTTTTAGACAGTGTACACAGGTTCATCTTCATTTCCTCTGTCTGTATCATCTCATCGCAAGGGTGAATGCATATGTGAATGTATATAACTACGTATATACATATCCTACAGACTACTGTCTGTGAAAGAAGCTGTGAGTGATAATCAATGGCAACCTTTGAAGAGCTTTTTTGGAGGGAAACACAGATAATGAGCAAGAGATTTTTGATGGTGACAGTGAAGTTTTATGCCCTACAGTAACAAAGAGATCAGTTAAGACTTGGAAGACATCTGAGAAAAACATAATTTAAGTGTTTTAACCCTGTTGAATTAATTTCACCAGTTTAAACTACCGTGGGAAACCTGGTAATACCTGGAGGGGAGCAACTGTCCCCAGGGACTGATTTGGTTTCACACAGCCTTAGATTAAGGAAATTTACAGTAAAAGAACTACAGTTGTAAATCACAGTGTTTTTAGCTAATTTTTCTTCAGAGGAGGATGAGACAAAGACAGGTAATAGAAAAGAGTTGTGTGGGAATACTAAGAGACCTTTTTAAGTAGTGCAGCACATTTATATATTGCAGATGCAAAAACTGTGCCAGCTACATCTGCTGTAACATGTTGATGGCTACATGCAGATAGCTGAGTAGGTGAAATAGAATTGCTGTGATCAGGGAAAGGTAGGCAGAAGGGCACATGTAAGGAAGCCTGGATCCCTCTGGGAAGCTGACAAAGAAACAAGGCAGGAAACAGCAAAACAATAAAGATGACACATGGGATGGTGAATCACATTATCATCAAATGCAATTTTGGAAGAGGCTGCATTGATTATTTTGCATATGGAACTATGACCTGGTCACAGGACACTGTATGACGACCAGCAGAGCTCAACAGGGCTTCAGTGGTGAAAAGCTTCAGTGCAGGCATTGGGAACATCAATGGCTATTTGTCTGGGTTTTTTTAAAATCAAACTCAAGACCGGGAATTTGGTTACCAAAGCTGTGTGTGCTGAGGGGCAGGAGATGTAGATTTGTAGATTTTGGTTTAAGATTCTAAAATAAAAGCTCAGGCTCAGAGGTGGGGGGCCCCAGCAGAGTTCCCAGGTCAACTGTGAAGTCAGTCCTGGAGACATTGGCTTGGGACCCCCAGCTGCCATGCTGCATTAAGGCAGCAATGCCAGTCCTCATCCAGGTGATTTCTGTCCTGCTGTACAGCTCCACACTCTAATGGGTATGAGGTTTTGTTCTATCACAGACCAATTATTGTACCACCATTTGAAATGGAGACCTTCCTTCACCTGTGATGATCCTGAATTTGTCCTGGGTTACCATCTTATAGGCCAGGGTTGGACAGGGCTTTGCACAGCCTGGTCTAGAGGAAGGTGTCCCTGCCCATGGCAGGTGGGTTGGAACTAGATGATCGTTAAGGTCCCTTCCAACCCAAAGCATTCCATGACTCTACGATTTCTGGGTGTGTGTACGCTCAGCCCGTGTGGTTGGTATTTGCTACGCATCCGGCTGAGCCACGAGAGGGCACTCACTGTACGAGGTTTCCCATCCCCTTCTCCAGAGCCAGAAGACGAGTTCCTGCAGGCCTGGGAGGGCTGATGTGTGTAGCTACCAAAAATGCCTGACTATGGATTTCTGCTCCTATTCTAAATGTCTGATATGCTTATAAAATTTGGTATGGCCTGTCTACATCTCTTAGTGGTTAAGATAAATAGATGTCAATTTAATATACACCATGACAGAGGATAACAAGCTCTCCATGAATAAGCAATATGTTACTTAAATTCCCAAAGTATTCATAAGATGGATGAGCTTTTTATGTGCAGATGGCCATATTTATTCTTTATGTTAGTTCATGGATGTAAAAAGAAAAATACCAAAGAGGTTTTTTTACCTGTATTTAAAAGAAATACTGTACCTATCCTTTCTAAGGAAATCAGCAAAAATTTAAAAATATAAATGGAATGTTAAATAAAGGCTTTTAAGACATGGCAAATCAAAAAGTTAATGATAACTTTGGTTTTTTGAAGAGGTTCATTCACTAAAGAGTGTCAGGATGACCTTACCTCCCCTGGTCGGATTTTGATGTAGAAGTTGTTCCTCTTGTAGGAAATTTTCAGCACCTTTGGCCAGGCAAATCTATTTATTCTGAGTCTGTCTCGATATATTAAGAGTCCACTTGCACAGACTCCTAGCATGATTTCCACTCCTTCAGAATCCTGGAAAAGTAAGCAATGCACTTTGTTGAGTATTTTCCTCCCTATATCCTGCAGTGCTACAAATTCCTGTATCCTGTGTTTCTATCTGAGCTATGTCTTTTTAATGCATCAGCTGTAGTGACCTGATTTCTGAGCAGTACCCTACTCACTGAATGCATTCATGCAAGTAATAGTAAGGTTGGGCAGGGTGAAAGAAACTAAGGTTTGCCAACGTTTCCTTATATTTTAGAAAGACTCAAAGGGAGGAGGGAAAATTTAGATGTTCTTAAAGGAATTATATCAATCATACAGCAAAATTTTATTAGCATGATAAAAAAAGGATTATTAGCATAAATACTTGATTGAAGGTATGTAGGCCAGCGTACAAATTTACTTCTGCTGGTATCACTCATCTCCATGACTAAGCCTCATGAATCCTTAGACTGATTTTTTTTCTGTAGTTTGCTCATCTTGGCTTTAGTAGGTTTGCTACTTTCTTGAACGCTGTTGTGCTTACAGTCAGTGTTTTCATTTTGAAATACCCAGTGGGCAGGAAGTTGGGCATTTGGACCAGAGAGATTATTTTTAAGAAGTATATGACTGTGCCTGTGCTATAAAACCAATGCCTGACAGGAAAGCTGTAGGTCACACACATTAGCACTACCAAAGATTTGGCCACAATCTTACCAGAATCTATCCATAAATATGCATTTTTTTAAATAAGAAGTATATATTTTGTCTTTCCTTTAGAAGCCTTCAAATAGTCTAAAACCAATCTTCACTGTTTGTTATCACCACTAGTCTGCATAATTCTGCTGTTTTCATTTAGCTAAGTACTAGTAGTGCTGGAGAAAAGAAGAATCCACCTTAAAGCACTGAGTTCTTCAGGAATTATTTTCAAATAACTTAAAGTTACAAAAGCCTGACAGCAGGAGCTATGATGTACCCTATAAAAATCATGAAATGAATTCATCATTTCCCTCTCATTTTCCCAACTTGCCATCTTTTAGGTACATGGTGAAAATCTGATTATATTTTAAGATGAACACGCATGGTCAGTCATGGTGAAAAGGCTATGGCACAGCTTGAAATAATAATAAAAAAGGTATAAAATCACAACATAGAAATAGTGCCACAAAGTCACTCCAGTGATAGAAAACATCCCAATAGAGGATACATGTTCCAACAATGATGGTGTCACCCTTAAAGGTAGATTTTTTTCTAAAAAAAGCTCTTGTGTGATATCATTGTCAGGTATTACAGAAGAGATGAAGCCAACCTTTTTGCAGTGGACAGTTTCACAGTTTCCTAAGCAAAGAGTAATGTCTAAATACAGTGAGTACCTTTTGAAAAAGAAAGTCTCAATGCCAGTAATCCCACTGCCTGGTGAATGCCTGAAATGCAGGCACGTTCACACATGGCACATAGCTGCAGGTGCAAGGGGCTCCTTCCTTTGATACCGTATCTAAAAAGCTTGTAGAGAAATGCCTTCTTCCCTCACCTCCACCCTTGCAGCAAATCTAGGTTTTTTCAAAACTTCTGTTACTTGTCAGTGTCACAGATTGGTTTTCAATGTGATACTATTGGTGCAAAACAAAACCTGAATAAAACAATTTGGCTTTTATCAGGAGCAATGTGGCTGCATGGAACAGAAAACTGTTAGCTGTGACATCTGAGGCACAAGTCGCTGGGCTGTACTCAAAACCCACATTTGCAGCTCTGCCCACAAGTGGGGCTCATCCTCAGAGTGGTGACAGCCCAGAGGACAAATCTGTCTATTTGAATACATTTTTTATCATAGCCTTGTGTTGGGTAACTGAGAACTAGTTCTAACAGCAGCTGGAGAGTCCAGCATCTGTCAAACACCTAAGATATTGGCACAGACTTAAAGAATTGACATTTATAAAGAGACATCTGCCACATCATGACTTCCAAAAGGCATTCATAGAGATACTTGTCCCCTAGCCTGACACCATGAGATTTCACTGGCAGACCTAATTAAAACCAAAAACTCTCACACAGAGTCCACTTTTCCACCTTCAGCTCAGTTTCCAACATTACTCTTGCATTTCTTAACCCACAGACACACATTAGTTTGGTTACCATTGCAGCTTCTCTAAATCATAAGCATCACTTTAGAGAGAGATTGGCTTGTCTACCAACTTCTCCTGCTTGGAGCCTTTCCATATGATAAAAAGAAGAGAAAACCAGGATACTAATATTTTTAATAGAAAAAATAAAATCAAATGGTTATCTCAGAATGTCCTGTCTTAAACCTCACAGCCTTTCTCCAGTATCTTGAAAAAAATACGTAGGCCTTAATGCTGTGCAATGTTAAATCTTCAGTAACAAAGCCTGTAAGATATTTAAGAACATGAATCCACTTTGTTGCTGGTTTGTGGATTTCTTAGTGTTGGGAAAAAAGCTACCAACTGACATTTGCCAATCCGTTTCTCTCTGCTCCAAATGTGCCTGAAGACTTTGTGCCTATCTGCAAGACACAGGGAAGGCAGCAGCATGCCTCCTGGTTGACTGCTGCCCGTTGAGCCATACCCAGATTTTTCATTTTCAGTGAAGGCAATTAACAGAACACAAAAGATTGCCTTGAATTCTGTAACACACATGCACAGCTCCTACAAAATGCCCCAGGGACACGGTTGCAGGCTCTTTCAAGATCCAAGCTTCAAATTTATCTCAGTTCTTGAAAGGATCTGCTGCAACACAAAAACAGGCTCACAATAATTTGACCTTTACAGAAAATGCAGTGCTCTCCACAGGGCAGAATTCTTTGGTTCAGCACTCATTTGCCAAGGACGCTTGATAACCTCAAAAATGTTAAATGCATCAGCCTTACTCAGAAGAGTGAATAAAAAAATAGTAATTATTTATTTGGGAAAAAAATCCCACTCCAAAACACCAAAAATCTGACAAGCAACACAAGGGTAGTAGGTGGCTCTCCCAAGCCACAGGAAGATTGACTGTTTTATTCATAACTTAACCTGCTGATGATTAGAGAAACTACGTGATCATGGGAAGGTGTTTCCATGAGAATTACTGTCCTTCCCATCAACTGCAATGACCACACTTCAGAAGAGAGACAAGCTGCTGTCTCCCCATTGCTATCAATCTGATTAGGTTTCCAGCACAACCAAATAATTGCTTGGAAGTTCTTTGCAGCATTAGAAATGATCTGCTTATCTAGTTAAGATAGAATAGTTGACCTTATTAAATTGGAAAATGCAGCTGAATGAAATGACAACTGATCACTCTCTGGACAGCTTCTAATATCCTTCTTTATTACCCCACCCATTCAGTAATTTCCCCAAGGATTTGGCTGCTTAATCAACATGAAAGGTTGATGCGCAACATCTTTGAATCTATAGAGTAAGTTATGTTACAGTTACAAGACATATTTATGTTTATCCCATGAGTCACCTTTTGTCACGTTGACACATGATTTATCCCACAAAACACCCACCTCAAAAATATGAGAAAGAATAAATCAAGGAGTCCAAGTACTATGCCACAGTAGAAATATGGCTGGTGACAGAACCAAAGCACATACCTTGGCATGATGGAGATCTACTCCATACATTGATAGTTTTTTGGCATTCTCCAGGAAATGCATCTCAGCCTCTGCAGGAGTCATTCCCCTGCGGAAAGCAACCAGTTCAAGCATAAATGTTAAGGAAACAGAAACCCAAATAAAATCCAGCAGCTGGATTTTCAGCCTGTCAGAACGACAGCCATACCCCTCAGGTAGCTGGGTACCTAGTGGAGCCAAAGCTCTGGTGCAGACCCTATTAACTTTCATGATGCCAAGCTCTTGTCTATCCAGAGAGAGGAGTCTTGTCTGAAAAACAGTAAGTATATAGGGGCAGATTTTAACAGCTCTTCAACCAGGTTGGAAGAGACCTCAAAGATCATCCAGTCCAACCCTACCATTGTTACTAGACCATGGCACTAAGTGCCATATCCAGTCTCGTCTTGAAAACCTCCAGGGATGGTGAATCCACCACCTCCCCGGGCAGCCCATTCCAATGCCTGATAACTCTTTCTGTAAAAAATCTTCTCCTAATATATAACCTAAATCTCCCCTGGCAGAGCTTGAGTCTGTGCCCTCTTGTCCTACTGCTAATTGCCTGGGAGAAGAGACCAACCCCCACCTGACTCCAACCTCCT